GGCAGAAAGGGCTTTTAAAAACGACATTTCGAGCCACGGCTGCTTTTTAGGGCCTGCCTGAAATGAGGTGTAAGGGGCAGTGGCGGTGCAGGTGAGGGGCTTGAGGGGGCAAAGTCCCAGGAGAGGTTTGGTTTCTCCCAGTTAATGCTGATGTCGTGATACTCAGCGATAAAAGGGGTGCAGAGCGGGAAAGCACTGCGGCTGTGGAGAGCCCGGGCAGCCGCTTTCCTCTCTTGCAGTCCTGGAGCAAGCGTGCGTTTGGCGAAAGGGAGAGGGTGATGCTGGGGGATACCCCGTACGGAACAACCGGCTCAGGGTAGATAAGCTCAGTCTGAGTGATGTTGCCTTTGCACAGTAAATCAATTATAAATGTAGCGTGTTACAGAAAACATGTTTTCTTATCTCTCTGGCTTGCTTAAATCAGCTTTATGCAGCTAATAGCCTCACGTTGGAATAATGCCTTTGTCTGCTTTAATTGCATTCCAGGCTTGTGCACAGTGCTTCGCAGCCATGGGGGAAAAAAACCCCAAACTTCCCTAAAATATTTAACATATCAAAAATTTTGCAGGTGTATATTTGTTTAAACATACTTTTATAGCTGTAATCTGCCCTCGTTACTAAATGAAGTGCTAAATTTAGCATAAAAGCTGTCAACATGTTCCAATCAACATGTCTTAAGGACTGCCAACAAATGGAAATGCGGCTTTCACTGGAAAAAAGCCAAAAAGGTAGAAATGCAGAACAAGATAGATCAACTGTTTTGATCTATCATGAGTCCACTGGTCACCGCATTATGTCGGGATTTAAATCAACCCATGGTGTTTATGTGGTTACTTTAATTGTTAATAGAAACGTTGACTAGCTGCAAACAAGGCAAGGCTCCTCCGGGGACCTGTCGTGGTGTTTCCTTTCATTAACGTCTCCCCGTTAGCCACTACATGTCGAGATCTCCCAGCGAGCCATTTTTCAACCCAGTAAACGTGTGCCTTATTAATTCCATCTAATGGAAGTTTTTAATCAAGATGTCACATGGTGCTAAATCAAGCACCTCCCCAGAGTGCAACACATGTAACGTCCACGTTACTGCCTTTATCAATCAGCTCTGCATTCTTGTAAAAAGATTTTCTACTTAAATCCAGGTTTGTCTAACAAGGCCCTCTCTCATTGAAACAATGTGGACTTTTCTTCCTTTTTTTTCTTTTTCTTTTAATTTCAAGGTGTCCCAGAAGAATCATTCCTTTATTCTGGCCAAGACTGATGTTTGCACGTTTCCTGCTTACCCTTGCTAAAATATTGGCTGCTATTGGCAGACTTCCAGTTCCTTCACATTCCCCCTTCACACTTTTTAACGGTTGTAGGAATTAACATTTGTGGCTTGGAATATGAGAAATGCATTTTGAAGTGGCACCGGCTGACACCAGGTACAGGTGTGGCCCTGAATTTCAAATACTATTGATGGCTTACCAGTGAATAAGGAGTTTTCTCACTCTGCAGACTCTCAGACAGCGCCATAGAATATCCTTGGTTTGCTTTGCTTTAGCTGTCCTGACTGGCAATTAGCTTTTAGACCCAAGTGAGGCTAAAGAATCTCATTCTTCACTCAAGGCAGATGAGAAATAGCAATGACTCTGTATTTTTCAGGTGTCTCTTTTTTTTATTTATTTTATTTTTTTTTATTTTCAGGTTTTAGTTACAAGTGGAAGGCAGGTCTTTGAAATACAGGATGGCTACTCATCAGCTTTTACAGACTAGGCAAAAGAAAAAGGTAAAAACCTTGAAATGTGATGGTACTAACAGTCTTAGCTCTCAGTTTTGGACCTGGCACGTCTGCGCATGGCGAGGTGGGAACGCTTTCTGTTGTCTGCGCTGTTCTTGGTTGGATTATTTCCAATTTAGTGAGTCCGGGAAGATACAGTGTGGGGCCTTGACATGCATTTGACTAAATAAATGTAGGCTCATTAGGTGTGCACTGAGCTTCATTAGCAGGAAGAAGCAACAAACTAATAGAGGAACTAAATGTGTTCATGTTAAAATTGCAGTGTTTAGTATTTACATTAGCTCCCATCGTAGGCATGTACGGTTACAACTCTGCATTAAAATCCCTCTGAAACTTAGGTCTGCGTACAGCATTGGCAGGTTCAGTCTGCTGTCAGATCTCCAAAAAAAGCTGTGGCAGGCAGTGAACTTTGGTACAGTGGTGAGCGTCACACTGGCACTGGCACTGGTTTGACTCCACAATTCACTCTGTAGGGCTAAGCTGGCAGAAAACTGCACACTTTATTTTTTAGGGGTGTTGTCTGTTAAGTGCCAGCATTGGTGCAGTGGAGGGGGAGGGAATGTTCAGCTGTGATAAAAGGGGAGGGACTGACCAATGCAGTCTGCTTTGGAGTAAATCATGCCAGATACAATCATAGAATCATGGAATTGTTGAGTTTGGAAAAGACCTTTAAGATCCCCAAGCCCAGCCGTTACCCTAACCCTGCCACCCCACCACTAAACCCTGGCCCTAAGCACCTCGCCTGCCCGGCTTTTAAATACCCCCAGGGGTGGGGGCTCAACCCCTTCCCTGGGCAGCCCCTTCCAGTGCTTGACAGCCCTTGGGGGGAAGGAATTTTTCCCAATGTCCAACCTAACCCTGCCCTGGCGCAACTTGAGGCCATTTCCCCTCGTCCCATCGCCCGTTCCCTGGAAGCAGAGCCCAACGCCCCCCCCAGCTCTCCCCTCTTGTCAGGCAGTTGTAGGGAGCGATAAGGGCTCCCCTCAGCCTCCTGTTCTGCAGACTGAACACCTCCAGCTCCCCTAGACGCTCCCCACCAGCCTTGGGCTCCAGACCCCTCCCCAGCTTCGTTGCCCTTCTCTGGATATGTTCCAGCAGTTCTAATGATAACTATCCTTAAAACATTTAATCCCAACCATGTTAGACGTTAGTCTCCTCTGTGTAATATGAAGACCAGAGAAATGTTCAAATTATTGCAAAATTCATTCCCATGTGTGCTTTAAATAGAGGAAGATGCAGCCTGATTGTTGGGAGAATCTCTCTGAAACTCATTAAGGTGGGTGCTGTTGGAGCTTCCCTGCTGAGTTTTGGTGGGGTGTTGGGTCTGACGTAGGAAAGCGTTACGAGCGCGGCCGGGTGCCTCCCGCCTCAGCCAGCTCGTAGGCGCTAGCAAAGCTGTCTGTGCGCTGTGCTTGCCGGTGCTTTGCTTGGCCAGGATGACGCTGGCAGAGGCCTCCTGGGGGGCAGTCCTGCGTCTGTCGCTCCCCCGCGTTGAAGCGGGTGTGCTCAGGGGACGGCGTCGCTCAGGTTTCAGTTGCCACTTGTAAATGCAGCTAATGGGTA